GTCTAGCCTGAGGTGTCCTATGTCCCATGACCAAATATCAAAAAAAATGAAATGGAGACTGAAATGGGCTGAACATTTCTTTATTCTTTCGTGACTGATGTTATTTGTAACTGTATCAACCAGGTTGCTAAGTGTGATGAGAAAACAGTTCTGTCCTTCCTGTGCATTTACAATTATACCATCATTGACCTGATTATTTATTGATGGGGGAATCTGCAATCAGAGACCTTAACCTTTAAATGAGTCACCTATTTGAGCAACTGCATTAAGGGAACTGATTCCCTTATGATGTTGAAATGTTATTGTAATTGAATTGTTTTGTTAAGAAACTCTTGAAATAAATGGAGAGAGGCTTTGACTGAAAATCTGTTTTGTTTTGCAGGCCATCATGAGAGGCGAACTAGAAGTTCTGAAGGATTGGTGTTATGAAGCAGTATGTATTTTAGTTAAACAAATCTCTTTCCTTTTTTTACTCTGCGTAACAGAATAAATGTTCTCCCCATCAATATATTTATTCAGTGTGTTATTAAGGCCATATGAGCCCACAGAAGGTTATCTGTATCAGTGGGTGGGGCAACTTGCTGCTGAACAACCAAAAGAAGTGTTGCTATGGACCTAAATGAGAGGGAAAAATCAATGAGCAGTTCCTCAAACCCTAAAATCACAATCCTGACATTCCTACTAGAATGTGTGGACATTGTATGGATGGGCGTACACCCATTGATGTTTAGAAGAATCTTATTGAAACCTTCAAGTTCCTGAAGAGACTTGCTGAGGTGGGTGCTGCTTTGATGTTCCCTTTGCATGGAGACTAGAACTCGAGAACAGAGCTTATGAATAACGGCCTCCTGTTTTGAAGGCTGAGATGAGTATTTTTTTTTCTCCAAAGGTTGTTATTATGTGGAATTCTCTTTCCCAGAAAGTAGTGGAGGCTGAGTCACTTACTGTCAAAGCAGAGTTGGTTAGGCTTTTGATAGACAAGAGAGTGGAGGGCTGTCAGGGTGGACAGGAAAGTGGTGCTCAGATCACAAGCAAATAAGGTAGAGAAGGCTTGAAGAGCCGAATGGCCTAATCCTGCTCATCAGTCCTATGTTTCAAAGTATGGAGGCAAGATTAGGTTTGGCTGTGAAAGCCCTCATGAAATTCATGTTAGGAGGGCAAAAGGTACCCGAGGCACCTGTAGAGTTCCTGAGCTATTTTGCCTAAAAGGCAGACAACAAAATTGAGATCTGTTGGAGAATCATTATGATAAAACCATGAGAAATGACAGTGATAATTGGTGGGTAAATTTGAAGTTTCCCCGGTGCCCCTTCTATAACCTTCTGGAAATGCTAGAGGGTCAAGTATGAAGGAGGAAATGAAGGAAATCATTATTTGTAGGGAAATGGTATTAGAGAAATTGATGGGATTAAAATCTGATAAGGCCCCAGGGCCTGATGCTCTGCATCCCAGAATACTTGAAGTAGCCCAAGAAGTAGTGGATGCATTGGTGATCATTTTCCTGCAGTCTGGAAGGTAGCTAATGTAACCTCACTTTTTTGAAAAAGGAGGGAGAAGAAAAAATGGGGAATTATAGGCCAGTTAGCCTGACGGTGGTGGGGAAAATGCTGAAGTCAATTGTTAAGGATGTAGTAACTTCACATTTGGAAAGCAGTGACAGGATTGGTCCAAGTCAGCATGGATTTACTAAAAGGAAATCATGCTTGACAAATCTTCTGGAATTTTTTGAGGATGTGACTAGTAGAGTGGTCAAGGGTGAATCAACAGATGTTGTGTATCTGGACTTTGAAAAAGCTTTTGACAAGGTCCCACACACAGATTAGTGAGTAAAATTAAAGCTCATGTTATCAAAGGTAAAGTATTGATGTGGATAGGGAAGTGGTTGGCAGACGGAAGCCGAGAGTTAGAATAAACAGGTCCTTTTCAGAGTGGCAGGCAGTGATGAGTTGGGTACTGCAGGGTTCAGTGCTGGGACCCCAGCTGTTCACAATATACATTAACGATTTGGGCAAAGGAATTGAATGCCACATCTCCAAATTTGCAGGCGACACTAAGCTGGCTGGCAGTGTGTGCTGTGAGGAGGATGCTAAGAGGCTGCAGGGTGACTTGGACAGGCTGGCTGAGTCAGCCAATACTTGGCAAATGCAATATAATATCAATAAATATGAGGTTATTCATTTTGGTGGCAAAAACAGGAAGGCAGATTGTTATCTGAATGGTGGCAGTTTTGGAAAAGGGGAGGTGCAACAAGACCTGGGTGTCATGGTAGATTAATCACTGACAGTTGGCATGCAGGTGCAGCAGGTGGTGAGGAAAGCTAATGGCATGCTGGCGTTCGTAACAAGGGGATTTGAGTATCGGAGTAAGGATGTCTTGCAGTTATAAAGGGCCTTGGTGAGACAACACCTTGAGTATTCTGTGCAGTTTTGTTCTCCTAGTCTGAGCAAAGACATTGCTGTTGAGGGAGTCCAGTGAAGGTTCATCAGACTGATTCTCAGGATGGCAGGACTGACATATGAGGAAAGACTGGATCGACTGGGCTTGTACTCACTGGAATTTAGAAGAATGAGGAGGAATCTCATAGAAACATATAAAATCCTGATGGGACTAATCAGGCTAGATGCGGGAACAATGTTCCTGATGTTGGGGAAGTTCAGAACTAGAGTGTCACAATTAAGAATAAGGGGTAAGCCATTCAGGACTCAGATGAGGAAGAATTTCTTCACTGAGTTGTGAACCTGTGGAATTCTCTACCACAAAGCTGTTGGGGCTGGTTTGTTAGATATATTCAAGAGGGAGCTGGATGTGGCTTTTGTAGCAAATGGGATCAAAGTGGATGGAGAGAAAGCGGGAGTGGACTACTGAAATTGTGTGATCGGCCACGATCACTTTGAATGATAGTGCAGGCTTGAAGGTACGAATGGCCTATACTTGCACCTATTTTCAATGTTGATGTTTAACCATGATAAATGTCTCCGCTAATTCCACTCCGTCCCATTGATTTTGCTGTTAAACCTTGAGAAATGAGGAATTCTTAAAAATAAAGCCAAACTCTTATTTGTTACCCCATAATTGGAATGTTTGTGAAGATTTATTCTTAATACAGCTGGTTTGGTAGCTGGAGCAGATTACCGAGTGAATGCAGTTTGTGAAAGTAAGATTTGAAATTCAGTTGTTCGCATGATGAGCTTGTCAGTTGTGAATCACCTTTGCTAATAAGATGCATGTGTCTGTTCCTTGCAGAAAGAGAAATTGTTCTGTTTGTAGGACACAGTCTGATATTGGGGAGTTTGAGATTACCCTTTGTTATCAAATCAGTCTCCAGGGAATTTTGAGATTTAAGGTCGCTCATTACTGTACTCTGGAACTGCAGGATATGATTTGGTATTGAGTACAGTTGAGGAAATGCTTAGAAGTAATTTACTTTCTCCAGCTCATTTACTATTACTTAGCACTGTAACTGGTAGATGCACATGCAGTGCCTGGCAATCAGTTGTTTTGCGTTGCAGCAGTTGCCTCTAGGGATCCTTTGTGATTTGTTTGGATTATTTTGGGAGCCTGAGCTAATGGTGGGCAGTTTAATTTAGTGCAAAGTAAGGAAAATAAAGAACTTGTGTTTATAACATGCCTTTTCCATTCTTAGAACACCCTAAAGCTCTTCTCAGCCAGTGAATTTTGAGGTATATTCTTAGCTATTTACTTAGGTAAACAAGTAACCAGTTTGCAAATAGTGAGGTTTCATAAACAGCTCATGAACAACTAACCATGTAATCTGTTTTAGCATTTTAAAAAGGAAATGTTCACCAGGACTCGTTGGCGAACCATGTTGCTATTCTTCAAACTATGCCATAGGATCTTTTATGCTGCTTAAACATGCAAATGACATCTTGTCTTGACATCTCACCCAAGACATTTAATAAAATCTGAATCGACTGAAGGAATAGTGAGTTAAAATCATTGAGACCTGGCAATGGTTTAGGTCCAGTTAGGCTGACCCTTTTTCATTATCCAGCTCATCACCCATTCTACAATCCGACCTACCATTCCATAACATTAGCAAGCAGGCCTTCTCACTGTATTTCTAGATTCCCACTCTAATTGTTAGGAATCCTGAGAAAATGAATGGATTTGCATAATGCTGTGATGTATTAAATGAATTAGCATAGACACCAAGGAAGTTCTGAGTGGTCTGGCAGGCTTCAAAGTGGATAAATCTCCAGGACTGATGAAATGTATCCCAGACTTAAGTGAGGAAATAGCAAGGGTACTGATAATTTTCAATTCCTCTCTGAACACAGGAGGGGTGCCAGAGGATTGGATGACAGCTAATGTGGTAATATTATTAAAGGAAGGGAGCTCGGGGCTAGGAATCTACATACCATTCAGTCTAAACTCAGCCGTGGGAAATCTATCAGAAGCAATTCTGAAGGACAATTATTCTGCGCTTGGGACAAGTCAAGAACGGTCAGCGTGGTTTTGTTAAGGGGAAGTCATGTCTGACCAACTTGATCGAACTTTTTGAAGAGGTAACCAGGTGTGTTGATGGTAAGGACTTTGACATGTTCTGTTTGGATTTCAGAAAGGTCTTTTGATGAGACCCTTCATGGGAAACTGATTTCAAAGATACGGGTCCATGGGATCCAAGGAAACTTGGCTAATTGGATCCAGAATTAGCTGAGTGGAAGGAAGCACAGATGATGGTTGAGGGGTGTTTTTCATAGAATCCCTACATTCGGCTTTTTGTATTTATAGTTAAGCTGGTCAGATGGGCTGATTAGTCACAAATACATTTCAATCTGAATAAGTGAGAGTTAATACACGTGGGCAGGACTAACATGGCAAAGGGAATACTTGAACAGTAGTTCCCTAGGAAGCACCAAGGATCAGAAGGATCTTGGCGTGCATGTCATTGGCCTCTTAAGGTAGCAGGACAGTTCAATAAAGGTATATGGGATACTTTTATTGGCCAATGCATCGTGTTTAAGAACAGGAACGTTATGCTGGAACTGAATGAGAAAAGTTGGTTAGGCTACACCTAGAGTATTGTGTGCAGTTCTGGAATTTACATCAGAGGATAGATGTGATTTCACTGGAGAGGATAGAGAGGAGATTTACCATAGTTGCCTGGGCTTTGAGGCCTGGATAGAGAAGAACGACCTCAGACGGAAGGGATGACCCTTTAGAATGGAGATGATGAGGAATTTCTCCAACCAGGGTACGGTTAATCTGTGGAACTCCATCTCCTTGGCAATAATTGATTGTATTTAGGACCAATAGATAGGTTCTTGGTTGGTAAGGGGATCATGGGTTATAGGGAAAAGGCAGGAGAATGGGATTAAGAAACACATCAGCCATGATCGAATGGCAGGGCAGACTCAATGGGCCAAATGGCCTAATTCTGGCCTTGTGTCTTATGGAGATTTTTAGTTATGAAGATAGATTGGATAAACTGGGGTTGCATTCCTTGGAGCAGAGTAGACTGAGGGAGAACGCCATTGAGATGTATAAAATTGAGGGCTAGACAAGTAGTAACTTTTCCCCTTGTGGAGGGATCAATGACCAGGGGCATAGATTTAAGGTAAGGAGGCAAGAGATTTGGAGGGGATGTGAGGAATAAGTTTTTCACCCAGAGGATGGTGGGAATCTGGAACTGTCTGCCTGTAAGGATGGTCGATGCTGAAATGCTTAGACATTTAAGAAGTATTTAGATGTACACTTGCAGTGTCAAGGCATACAAGGCTCTGGGCCAAGTGCTGAAAATCGGAATTAAAATAGTTGACCAACCAGACTTGATTGACTGAAGGGACCTTTTCTGTGCTGTAGACCTCTATGACTCTGACTCTATAATATCATTCACCACTTGGAATTTCAGTTTAGTGGTGAAAGGTGAAGAGCTCTACTGGTGCCACCACTTGCTACGCAGTTCCTTTTGTTTCAAATAATCCCATTCCTTTATGCTCGTCGACTTTCTGTTGAACTGCCACCCAGACCTAAATTTCAGGCTGCTTTCTACCCAACCCTTGATCTGCTGTTCCTGCCCATGGAATCTACTAACCCTTTCTGTCTGACTGTACTGATCAGACACTCTTCATGTCCTCAGAAGTTCTACATGAGCTGACCTTAGTCTGTATCTCTGGTCAGTGGAGGGTACAGAGTGAAGCTTATTTCACAGCCAATGCATTAATGTTTGTCCTTGCCAAAAATCAGATGCTTTTTACCTATATGTATGTATCAAAGCTGTAAGTGAAATATGTGATAGCGAGACCAGGTCATTACATCACAAGATGTTGCTGCATCATTTGAATGGCGTGCAATGTATTCTGGAAGTGTTTCATCATTTTCCTACCCAATGAAATGTGCAGTAATTTAATTTTTATTCAACAGCCATAGTAAATCAGCATTCTTGAATAACACAAATAACTACTGATAATGTTTGGAGGTGTGACTGATTCTTTCTGCTCTGATATTTATGATATCCATTTACCTCATTACTAAATCAACATATGGCTTGTGTGTTTCACATTGTAACATAGTGAGGGACATTAAGGGTAGATGGTACAAACAATGATCTGAGGATGGGTGAAGCAGTTCTACACATTTCTTGAAAATTAGGCATTTTGCTGGTGGAGGTGTAGAGACTACCTTAAAGCTTAGACTTGAGGCATATTGATGGGACTCCGTAGAGGGAGTCTTACTCTGTATCTAATGTAGATTATATCTGAACTGTTAATACTTGGGGGCAGAATACAATAATCTTTATTCTGCAAGTAATCTGTACTGCACCTGACCTGAGAATATTTGGTGCTGGCACAGGGTATCTAAAATAGTACCGTACTTTACATTATTTTGATTTTGTGCTTATTTGTCATTTTAAAAAAGATGGTGGCATAGTTGGTCGAGGCCCGAAATGTCAGCTTTCCTGCTCCTCTGATGCTGCTTGGCCTGCTGTGTTCATCCAGCTCTACAACATGTTATCTCGGCATAGTTTGATGTCACTGGACTGGTGATTCGGGCTTTGGTGGCATGTTTTTAAATACCACCAAGATAGCTTGTAGAATTTAAGTTCAATTAATCAAACTGAAATATAAAGCTAGTCTCAGTAATGGCAGCCATAACAACTGTTCATTAATTGTTGTAAAAATACATCTGGTTAAATAAATTTTATTGTGAATGAAATCTGCTATCCTTACCTAGTCAGACTAGTATGTTGCTCCAAATCCATGATGATGTTATTGGTTGTCCATTGCCCTCTGAAATGACCCACCAAGCCACTCAGTCCAAGGGTAGTTAGGGATGGGAACAAATGCTGGCCATGACAGCGATGCACATCCCATAAACAAATAAAGAAACCCATTCCAAAATTTCAAGCTGGAGTGTGAACCTTGAGTAGAATTAAACTTAATATCCATATAGGTCCAAGACATTGTGTATTCCAACTTACTTGACCTCTTCAGACAGTTCAGTGGTTCGGTATTTAACAATAACATTTTGTTTGTTTACCTCACAAACAGACCTACAGCCAGCTTGCACAACCCATCCAGCAAGCCAAAGCCATGAACCTTCAGTTCCGATCCAAAATACTCGACATTGACAACATTGATGTAAGTAATTGGCTTAATTAGCAGTGTTCACCCCCTCGTTGTGTGACAGGAGGTCCACAAGTATAGGGTACTTTATATCTAATTCCTGTGTATGTGATTTAGAAATGCTTAATGCCACCACTTGGCATCTGAAAAAACATGTTCTGTTCCTCAGCACTGGCATGTCTCGTCAGTATGACTCTCAACAAAAACAGAATTCAGGAAATACATAACAGGTGAGTTAATCCTGAAAGAGTGATTTTCATGTTGGCCTTTCACAACAGGTCAATGAAGAAGCATGTCAAAATACCAAATAATCTGTCTATCCTTCGCTATCTGTGTACCAGTATTGTTTTAGTGCTCACTGCTATATTTTGAAACTTATTCCAAAAACCCCTGTTTATGTCCTTGAGATTGAGCATTTAAGGGCATTTGTCATTTTCCTAATAACACAACCAGCGCGTTGGGAGCAGGTCATACATTATGTACAATGGCTGTTACTATTTCAGTCACTGCATTGGTATACTTATTACTTCAGGACATTTGACTCAAGGTCTTCAGTTGTCTGAGACAAGGTAGCAAAATGATCTCCAGGAACAAGCTTTGAGCTGCCCTAAAACTATGGTGCATATAGTTGAAAGTTAGGCACCTATTAACTAACTAATGACTTGTGAACAAAATATTCATAAATTTGCTGTGGATCAGTCCAACCCCTTTCAAAATATATTAAGAATATTGTCTAGACCCTAACTTTTCTTATTTTAAAGGTAAGTGTAAGGAATTGCATTTCAACTATTGACTTTAAGCAAAACATGCTTTATTATTACACTACAGTTAAAATATAGACCAAATAAAAATAAGAATCGGCTTAACTGTAACTATTGAAATGCTTAACAAATTTTGTGTGTCTGTATACTAATTTAACTTCCAATATAGTAACATCCCATATGCACACCCTTGGCAAAGGTAAATTCAGGAAAATAGATTGTCTTACATGCAATTCTAGCAGCAGGAAGAGAACCCCAGCGTTTAGCTGTAACAGAGAGAGGAATAAGAGCTTCGTGACCCCAGCAACTGCAGAAAGCTGAAACTAAAAATCCTGGTTCTATGGGAGCTTGATCCCACCTATTCAGACTGCTTCTATTGTTCCAACTTAAAAAAAAAAAAAGCCAAGGCCTCACAAGCTGTTTACTTTATCGGCTTTGAGCAACACCTCTGCCTCAACATTTTTTCATAAAAAATACCAGGACAAAATACATATCTTAAAGCCATAGTTTTGTCACAATTTAGCCTCCGTGTTCCTGAATTTGGGTGCAGCAGATCAGCTGCAGAACACTAACTGATGACCTGGAAGGTAAATGTGCATGTGAAGACAGAGGCTACATTTAGCTAAATAGACATATTTCCAAAACCGCAGAATCTGCCAACATTTATTATCAGACATTTTGTTTAAATTAATCAGCAAGGGATTTACAATGCCTCTGGAAATGTACCTGAGTGAATCAGCCTCTTCAGTAAAGAAGAAAGTACTGGTACAAAACCTGAGGGGTGACCATATAGAGGTTTATAAAATCAAGAGGGGCATAGATAAGTTGAATAGCCAAGGTCTTTTCCCAGGGTAGGGGAGTCCAAAATTAGACGGCATATGTTTAAAGTGAGGGGGCAAGATTTAAAAAGGATCCAAGGGGCATCCAGAGGGTGGTGTGTATGCAGAACAAGCTGCCAGAGGAAGTGGTAGTAGCAAGTACAGTTAAAACATTTAAAAGACATTTGGGCAAGTACATGGATAGGAAAGGCTTAGAGGTATATGGGCCAAATGCAGGCAAATGGGGCTAGTTCAATTTAGGAAACCTGGTCACCATGGACAAGTTGGGCCAAAGGGTCTGTTTCCATACTCTGTGATTCTATGACTCCAAGACAAATGGAATCTGCAGTATGAATGCCTAGTGATGTAGTCCTGTTGAAGTTGATGCTTCCTGGGTGTCCCAAAATATAGAAACTAAGACCAATGTAAAAGCAATAAGAAAGCTTCCACATGAATAAATATTCATAAACTTCTCATTAATTCTGGCACCTCGTGTTGCTTTACCTTCAGCCTAATAATTGTCCATTAACTAATAAGGGTGCACCTTTAAGGAGGGTGCAGGAGCAATGGACCTGGGTGTATACATGCATAAGATCTTAAAGGTAGCAAGACAGGTTGCATGAGTGATCAATAAAGCATACAATATTTCGGGCTATATTAGTTGGACCTTAGACTATAGGAACAATGCAATTATGATGAAGTTTCATAAGATAGGAGTTTAATCACAGCTGGAAAATTGATTCCAGTTCTGGCATTAGAGAGAAGACAGTAGTAGTTCCAGGGATGAGAAATTTCATTTGAGGGTAGATTGGAGAAGTTGGGATTGTTCTCCTTCAAGAAGAGAAGGTTGAGCAGAGATCTGATTGAAATATTCAAAATCATGAGAATACATAGGAGAAAATGTTCCAACTCATGAAATAATCAAGAATGAGAGGGCAAAGAATTAATGTAATTACTGAAAGAAGCAAAGATGATATGGGAAAAGAACTTCTGTCATGCAGTGATTAGTTAAGGCTGCAATGTCTGACTGCGACAGAGGCAAGTTTAATCAAAGAATTTGAAAGAGAATTAGATTGTTATTTGAAAAGGAACAATGTGCAGGGTTACGGGAGAAGCCAAGAGATAGGACATAGTGAGTTTACTTGTTTGGGGAGCTATCACAGACATGATGAGCTGAGTGAACTGCTCTGCTCTACAGCTCTGTGAACTGCCATCTAAAACTGATTATCTGGTCATAATTAAAACAGATAATCAGTGTCTTTGTGGGACCTTGCTGTCCACAGCCTGGCTACCACATTTCCTACATGACAGCACTACAATAGTGGCAAATCTTCAAAAGTACTACTGTATTGACTGTCACATACTTGGCGGCATCCTGAGGGGGTTTAAGGTACTGTATAAATGCCAATCCTTTCTTTCTCCTTTTTATAACCACAGGTAGTTCTCCTATAACGTGATAGTTGTGCGCTTGCGTGACCTCGTGCTACAGAAAATTGCCTTAGAAAATTGCGTTACAGAATCGCTACAGAAAATCGCTATACCTGTACAATAGAAAGTTTGCGTTATCCAAACAGCGTCTGCGTTACAGCCAATTCACATTAACAAAACATGCATTATAGCAGAACTACCTTTTCAGTAAATAACAGAATAAAGAAATTGAAAGAAAAGACTTCAAGAAGGTTCCATGCAGCTGAACTCCTGATAAATGAAACAGGTGATGATAAAGATGGGGCCCTGTGTAATCTAGCTTGTGAACCGTTGCAGCCCAGTTAACTTGTGATGTTTTCAATTTGTGGTATGGAAAGGACTTTTTTCTTCCTTTGTACTGGATAAATCAGAAATGAAGAAATTATAAAGGCGTTATGAGCAATTTGAAATTACTGCAGATTAATATGGGTTTAAACTTTAGAAGAAGACTTTATGGATACAACAGCAAAATCAGAAAGCCTGGATAATAAGGAGGTTGGCACTCTTTGCAAAATAATTAGATGTGTAGTCATTTTGCAGTATTTATTTGTTCAAGTTTTAAAAAGAATGTAATCAGAAAATCAAAGTTCGATAGCAAACATGAGCAGTAACTGAAAAAAATCCGATGTTGTCGGTCCACTATATACTTTGTTTTGGAAAAGCAACCTTTCGATTGCTAGTTTCCCTGCAGGTTCCTCTTTGAGCCACTCACCATCCTGACTTGGAAGTGTATCGCTGCTGCATTAGTGTTGCTGGCAAATCCTGGAATTCTCTCACTAATGGCATTGTGACTCTAACTGTACCAAATGGATTGCAGTGCTTCCAGAAGGCAGTATATCATGCCCTTCTCAAGGGCAACCTGGCAATAAAGGCTAGCTGAGCCAGCAACATCCATATCCCATGAATGAATATAAAAAAGTTCCTCGATCGCCAGCCCCGCCAAACTGCCTAATTTTCTATCTTACGTCGCCGTGAAACTTGAAGTAGTTAGAATAGACTTTTCAAACGGAAATCTAAAATAAGAATCAAAGAAAGACTTAATAAACAGTCTAATGTTACAAACAGTTCAAAATATATTGTGCGCAGGAATCCAGAACACAGGACAAATTCATGATAAGCAAACTAAAGTAAATAAGGAAACCAGGGAGAATATGTTTAACGAAATAATTTAATATGTGTAACAAATTGCAACATAGAAACAAGAAACTATGCAGTTTTGCACAAACAAACATGCAGGCATCTCACGGAAACAAGTTTGGATCTCAAATTGTTAGAAACATCAGTATAGGATCTATCAGCCCATCATACCTGTGCTAGTGACAGCTCTTCAACTCGAGCCGTCTAATGCAAAATGCATTTCCTGCTCAATTATAGTGTTCAGATTTTTGTTACAGCTTTTGGATTGACTGTAACTGTATTTGCTGAATCATGTGTGGTGTTTCATTTGTTTTGGTTTTCTGTGTGTTCTGTTTTTGAGGATCTGAGCTCCCTATTTTTAAGACATTCTTGTACTTGCCTTTCCTGGAAGCTTCTTGCATAGTGCACCTTCCTCAAGGACAAGTAGAGAACCACCTACTCTCCGTCCCGTGGGATTGCAGGATTGCTGTTCTCAAATGCTGAGAATTGTATGGGAGCTGTCAAAGTGATCATCTTTCTCTTTCCCTACCCCTTTCCCCAAGCATCTTCACTAATTCCCTTCTCTCCTTCTCTTGCTTCTTTTGGGGCACTGCCAGGTCTCTGCCCTAGGGAGTAGTTTCATTTGTAAAATGTTTTGCTAGAAATGTCAAAAGGTTTGCATGTATTTTAATTTTATTTTAATTACTTAAATAAACAATTCAATTATGTTACTGGCTTATGGGGGATTTATTAGGATAAGAGTAAAATTAAAGACTTCTGATATACTTTCAGAGAATGACTTTTATTCTCTTTAGCAGTCACATTTCTCTTTTAATCTCCTTAATGGCTAATT